TGACCTCTTATCCGGACGGATATCAGGTCTCTGTCGATGCCCCTCTGGGCTCTTCGGACCATTGTCTGATCCGGAGCAAGGTGCCACTCACGCTCCAATCGCAATTGCGATCTGCAGCTTGCCGCCGTGTTTGGCACTATAGGTCAGCTGATTGGGACGGGATGCGGTCTTTTTTTGCATCCTACCCTTGGGGGCGGGTTTGCTTCTCACCGGAAGATCGCAGCGTTGTTGCCGATTCTGTTGCTGATGTGGTACTTCAGGGTATGGAACTTTTTATTCCATCCTCTGTGGTGCCCATCGGAGGCAGATCCCAGCTATGGTTTGGTCGCTCCTGTAAAATAGCATCACGCTATAAGCAGGAGTGCTACCGGGCCTGGGCTGATGCATCAATGTCTCGGGATTTAAACACCAGCGCACTTAAAAAGAAGTATAATTCCGCCTCCAGGTCCTTCAAAAGCGTCATTGCCAAGGCAAGGTCTGAGCACATCGGCAGAATTGGCGAGAAGCTAGTTCGCCTTCCTTCGGGAACCCGTGCATTCTGGTCTCTCGCCAAGGCTGTCCAAGGGAACTTCTGTCAGCCATCCCTTCCATCTCTGCACAGAGAGGACGACTCGCTGGCCCATGCCGCAAAAGAGAAAGCCGATCTGTTGTGCTCTCTTTTTGCGTCTAACTCGACTCTAGATGACAGGAGGAACACACCGCCGACCATCCCGCGATGTGAGTGCTCCATGCCGGATGTGCGATTTACACAGCGCTCGGTTCGCAAAGCACTCTTCTCCCTGGACGTCAGCAAGTCGATTGGGCCCGATGGAGTCCCTCCCATTGTGCTGAAGACGTGTGCTCCGTAGTTGGCACCGGTTTTAACGCGTCTTTTCCAGTACTCCTATTCCCAAGGCGTAGTCCCGAATTCATGGAAGACAGCTTTGGTCCACCCGGTCCCTAAAAAAGGCGACCGCTCAGACCCTTCCAACTACAGGCCTATCGCCATCACCTCCTTGTTCTCCAAAATAATGGAATCCATTATAAACTGCCAGCTCATGAGGTACCTTGAGGATCACCAGCTGATCAGTGACCGTCAGTACGGTTTCCGTCGGGGTCGATCAGCAGGTGATCTTCTAGTTTACTTAACTCATAGATGGGCGGAGGCAGTAGAGCCCAAGGGGGAGGCATTGGCCGTTAGTTTTGACATAGCGAAGGCCTTTGATCGGGTCTGGCACAAGGCGCTTCTTTCGAAGCTTCCTTCCTATGGGCTTCCCGAGAAATTGTGCAAATGGATCACCAGTTTCCTTGCTGATCGGAGCATCAAGGTCATAGTAGACGGTGCATGCTCTGATTTCAAGCCTATCAATGCTGGTGTTCCACAAGGCTGCGTGCTATCACCAACGCTGTTTCTCCTGCATATCAATGATATGTTGCTAACTGGTAGCATTCATTGCTATGCAAACGACAGCACTGGGGATGCCTTATATACCGGCCGTGCCAATATTTCTCGGGAAAACGTCACCGAGTACCGGGACAAACTTGTGTCTGAAGTCGAGTCTTTGCTTAACAAAGTCTCGGATTGGGGCCGACTAAATCTAGTCCAGTTCAATCCCCAGAAGACACAAGTTTGCGCGTTTACCGCTAAAAAGAACCCCTTTGTCGTATCTCCTCAGTTTCAAGGCACTCCCCTTGCTGCCTCAGCCAGTATCGAAATCCTTGGCGTCGACATATCGAATAGCGTGCAATTTTGTGGTCACTTGGAAGGGAAGGCCAAATTGGCCTCTAAAAAGCTTGGCGTGCTCAGCAGAGCGAGACAGTATTTCATGCCGGCACATCGCTTTCAACTTAACAAAGCGCAAGTTCAGCCCCACATGGAATACTGTTCTCATCTCTGGGCCGGGGCACCCCAGTGCCTGCTCCTTCCACTTGACCGCATCCAGCGCAGAGCGATTCGAATCGTCGACGACCGAGTTCTTTTCGATCGGCTCGATACACTGGCACTGCGAAGAGATGTTGCATCTCTTTGCGTATTTTATCGCATCTATCACGGGGAGTGCTCTGAGGAATTGTTCGGACTAATTCCAGCCGCTCAATTTCACCATCGCACGTCGCGACAAAACTCGCGTTACCATCCATACCATCTGGATGATTGGCGGTCCACCACTGTGCGATTTAAAAGAAGTTTTCTCCCTCGCACTACTTCTTTGTGGAATCAATTACCACCAGCGAATTTTCCGAACCGATACGACTTAGGAACCTTCAAGAAAAGAGCTTACACCTTTCTAAAAGGCCGGCAACGCATCTGCAATTCCCCTGGTGTTGCGGTTGTTCATGGGCGGCGGTAGTCACTTACCTTCAGGTGAGCCGCATGCTCGTTTGCCCCCTATTCAATAAAATAAAAAAAAATTAACTGTAACATCGTTCAGACATCAATTTGAATGAAACAGGCAAGCTTTCTATAGATGCAAATGGCTCAGGACAGTATTTTGTGACAGTCTATGGAGGTGGCCAATGTCCAGCAGAGGACTTCTGGTGGGCTGCAGAAGTAGTATGTGTGTTGTATGTATGAAAAGGTTCAACTTTTTCAAAATATTCTCGTCTAAATAAATAAAACATTAACTCATCTTAGTGTGAATTCCATGGCCTCTACCACAATGAGTTAGTTTTTATATTAAGAGTTTTTATGTTATCAACCGGTGTGATAATAAGCGTATAGATATGATCACAACTTTTTACCGACCAAAAATCTAATAATTCTATGAAAATGTTAATGATATCCTCTACAATTATGAAAATTTTTAAATTAGATAATACATAAGTCTCCGGTACTTCACATTTACCATACGAAACACAGCAGCATTTAGCTGCTATGTTACGCTGGTATTTTGGGAGAGCCTAGTCCTTCTCCGGTTGAGACGACCCATTCGTGCTATAATCATAATATAGCTGCAACATGGCTCTACCATGTATAAAAAATAGAGTCCGAACAAATTGTAAAATTAGAGTGCAATGTTTGAAAGAGTAAAGCCGGTTCACAAATATCTGGAAGACATGTTGAACCGTCTCTAAGATATGACAGACGATAGTGATCAAACTACTGAAACAAAAAGTGAGGTCAAACTCCTTTATCGCATGTTGCCAAACGAGTGAGTTGTCGAACGTGTCCTTAAGTAGCTTTCTTTTTTTTCTTTAATAAAAACATTACCTCCACACTAGGATTTTCTTCTGCATTGCGGGGGCAGTTTACATACACATATTTTACAAGGACAATCGTTCGGATCCAGAACAATTATTTGTAGGCCATACAAATACTTCTTCCGTGCGGGATTAGAACCCGCGGCCTTTAGCGTTGCAACTCATTGCTAAGCCACTGTGCCACGGAACTCGAGGATCATAGTATGAATTTTTATAATACTGCCTTGGACATACATATAAGCCATGTTATTATTCAAATGAATGAGAGGTGAGTAAATGAGGTGTTAAAAAGGGGATTCAATCTTTTCCAGGAATGGGATGTAGCTACCAAGTTTCGAAAGGACCAGCCCGGAAGAATTTTATGAAATAGAGTGGGGGGAGGGTATTTATTAATTGCGCGACAGAGAGTTATAACGTTGATTGTTGCAAAGCGAGTGAGTAGCAACTCGTGCAAGCGACGGATGCGTATAATTTTTAGAAAAACTGGAGAAATTATTGCACTCCGGGAGGTCAGGAGAATAAACATTATTTCCGGAGTATCCCGGGTAATTCGGGAGGTTTGATAACCCTAGATTTAGCCACGAAACGGCATCGAGAGCGAAAAAAATTAAGCTGGACAGATTGCGGCAGACGCAGGGTTGACCGTCAAAGACAAAATGGAACTAGTAATGAAACTATCGATGAAATTAATGAAGGGTTTGCTCGTTTGCATAAAACTTTTGTTAAAATACTGTGTTACGGCTCCGATGACTGCGACAATCCAAAAGAGATGTGAAAAATTTGGAGACTTCTATGATTGCGAATAGGAATAGGAATACGGAGAGCAAGTTATACGAAGAAATGTTGAACCCTTTTTTACTGGAAAAGAGGCGTTCGATCTTGGAACTCACGGGTGACAACGCATTTGCATTTTGATTCGCAAATGAAGATAGATGTAGATGTCTATGGGCCACAGCAACCACTTACCATCAAGTGTGTGACTGTGTGCTCGTTTGTCAAACTATCCTATAAAAAAAAATTCGAATGCTTATATCTACAGGAAAAACGTCAATATGAAGAAACCTTAAGAGCTGGGTACTTGAATTAATTGTCTGGTACGAGGATGAAACACTATTTCAGAATCTGCCCATTTTCATTCAAATTCTGCTTACAATTTCAGTATCCAGCACAAGTTGTGAGACAGTTAGTTAGTTAGTTATTAAAACTAATACTTTTGTATTTGGCTACATATCCCCAACGAGGCAATCTATGGGAAGGCCATTGTTCAATAGGGAACTTTTGATACCAGTAATGAATGAATGAAATAGCTCAATAAAGGTTATGCAATCTAGTCTTGTTTAGCGTAGATCGAAATTAACGAAAAAAAATATTTTTTCCCGTTTCTTTTCTTTTTTCATTTGATTTCAAAACATTATCGATACATCGAAGACCAGGAAGGCGCAATTGTAAGTAAACCGGTCTTACAGACTTACTTTTGTTTTAAAATGGAAAATAAATATGTTTTATAAGAATTATGACTATTTTAATCAGTGTTGCTGCTTTATTTTTAGATAATTAACGAAGGGGCGCAACTTTGATACGTACACTAGGCGCCATTTTCCATACGTCCGCCTTTATTTGTAACTAGTTTCTTTAGTGTACTTTCAGTATCAATATACGTTACAGATTATAAGAATGTGATTATGATATTTACTCACCACTTAATCTCGTGGATCTCATCTAAATAAAACAGGGATAGGTAAAAATACTCTCTCACTGAGCCACATGAAGCGTGACTACGATGGCCAAAGTTACGCAATTTTAAAACCAATCGATTATCTTACCTGAGGCATATATCCTATCCTGGGGCCAGGCACACCACTTCCAGGTCCCCCCGGTCTGCCACCAAGCACCCAAATTTCTCCACTGTTCAATCTACGTCTGCCCACGATGCAAGAGAGTAATGTCGTTTTTCCACAACCTGATGCACCAAGAAGGCCATAACTGTTGAAAAAATTATAAAATTGTGAGGAGATAAACAAGTTAGAACTTTAGAACGTCAAGTAAATCTTGACAAAGTCAAAAAGCGTGATTTTTACATAATATTATGATGAAAGATAAGCTACCAGGCAGTAATAAATTACTACTGCAGCCCATCGACTCTAGCAACCAACTTTAAACATAGAATTTACTGTTAGGCATTCTTTTTAAAAAACTAAATTGACAAACGAACTTACACTCTACATAATGGTAAGTCGATTTTTTATGGAATAAGTGTGACAAACAAAAACACTCTACCTGATGGATATTGGACTCTGTGGCCCATAGATATCTACATCAATTAACAATCAAAATGCAGCTGCGTTGTCACCCATAAGGACTAAGAGAGAATGCCTCGATTTCCGTAAAGAGTGTCTCCCCGAATAGGTACTACCCTCTCTCTTATTTCTGCCGGTATACGAGCGTAGAACAGCAACTTAACGTTGGTGTTTTATAAGGTGAGTATAGAGAACTATGTCTATGTGCCACAGCATCCACTCACCATCAGTAGACTGTGTGCTCGCTTGTCACCTTATCCTATATATATTATGGTAAGTGGACTGTAAATCCATTTGCCGCTGAATTTTTATAAAACGTGGTAGAGCCATGCATGGTGCATTTATATTAGTAGTATAGTTGTAGCACGAATCGGTCGGTTCGACCGGGGAAGGACCGCGCTCTCACAGATTACCAGCGTAAAACAGCAGCTTAACACTGCTGTGTTTCGTATGGTGAGTGCAGAGAACCAGAGACCATTTTTACTGGAAAAGGGGCATTCCATCTTAGTCCTCACGGGTGACAATTCATCTACATTTTGATTCTTAATTGAGGATAGATGTAGATATCTATGGGCCACAGCAACCACTTACCAGCGGGTGGACTGTGTGCTCGTTTATCCCTATCCTATAAAAAGAAACTTGTATATTGACGACATTAACCACATAAGCGATTAATAATAAGAGAAGATTTCTGCTGGTAAGAATGTTTTTGTTTAAATATTACTAGATAAATTATTATAATGTGAGTAAGTAATATTTATAAAAACTGAACGTTAAAATCTTCTGCTGCAACATTAAAAACACATTTATGTACAATTAAAGGTTGTAATGACCTCTTTACGCGACCCATGGCTAACCAAACAGCTCATTAGTGTTATACGCAGTTTAACTTTTTGTATTTTTTTTATAGAATAATGGTGACAAACAAGTACACAGTCCACTGATGGTAAGTGGATGCTGTGAAACATAGATATTTACATATATCCTCGATTAAGTATCGAAGAATCCAGTTCTCTATACTCACTAGAATTTTTTTTACATCTATCCTCGATTAGGAATCAATATTCAGATGCATTATCGCCTCTGAGAACTAAGTCAGTAAGTCACAGTAAGACGAGTATTTAGCTCCCGACACTCACCATACAAAACACAGCAGCATTTTTTTTTCGCTGTTATCATCATATTTATGTTTTTACACAGTTCGTCTAGGAATTCGAGCCCATATCCGTGGTGTAAAAGTTACATTATTGGTAATATATGATATAATACTGATTTGAACTTCAACGGACCATGAGCGCACAAAATAATACAAGATATTATAATTTTGCAAACCCTCGAAAAGAACTTTACCGCAGCTAATAAAACAACAGCTGATGACCTTGAAACGGCTGAACATTTTCGATAAGCCATATCTAAGAACCATCGCTAGAAATACAGCTTTTAAATTAAAAAAACTGCACCCAAATCGTTCACCCGTTTAAGAGCTACGCTACGGTACCATAGACAGACTGATACACGTAGTAACACCACTCTTTTTGCGTCGGAGATTAAGAATGATATTGAACGATACTTACATAGCTCCTTTTGGTACAGTCATATTCAACCCGTCAAGTATCACATTTGGATTCTTCTTAGGTCCATAATTTTTATGCGCACGTCTGACGCACACGGCCTGTTGCCTTCTAGAAGCGACTGTTGACTTCTGCGACCTCATCTGCCTCATTCTTCTGGCATTTAACTGGTCTTCTATCGTGTTGACAGCAATGGTCTCCTCTGCATCCCGTACATCTTCCATAGATATGGTGGCGCCTTCATTGTCGTACGCCGGCATTTTTCCTGTAACAAAAAAATTATGTGTTGTAATTCTGTTGCATGTAAAATGTATATTTGAAAATTTCCGTGTAATGGCGCCGTAGAAATAACTACACCATATAGTCCTGTATGTGTCGGAAGAGGCGACAGAAGGAGACATCATAACCATGATTTATACAGCAGTATCTTCCTGATAACAACTTATTAATAAAAAACCACGATTACCACTCGCTTATCAAGTGTTGCAAATATGGTAAATACCCATAGTGGAGCCCTACGCTCAGGGCTTTGATATGCAAAAATGATGATGATAATGATTATTAAAAATTTATTAAGAATTCACCGCCAAGCTGGCTTCATACCAATGTTTTTATTATTCCAGTAACATGGATCACTATAGACTCGCCCACAAAGGAGACCTGATATTGAGGCCCTGTCAAGGAGACATAGCTCCGTCGTGTCTGCGGTTAAAATGAAGCTGATACCTGATACAGTAACATCAAGGCTGGTTTGTTTTAGCTTTTTCAACAAAGGGTTATCCTATGGATTCGTATAGATCTTGTGGATTGGCATATACATTACAGATAACATGCATTCATGTCATAATATACAATATCAGACCACTTCACAGTTTACACATACGTGTTAATATTATTTTTATGTTAAAGCTTTTTAATACCTTTGATGAAATGAGTGACACAACTTTAATACGCGTATTAAATTAATAAATTCATTGGTGTTTCATCTCAATGTTAATGTGCTTTTCTTCGCGTATTGAAAATAATAAACCAAATTAAATGAGAGTAATTTTATACCAATTCTTTATCTTTTTTAAATAGAATAAGAATAAAAAACGAGCAAACAGTCCACCTGATGGTAAATGGATCGATTACATTATATTTATGTTATAAAAATAGATAAAATGCACATGCGTCTGAAATATCTCGTTTCCAGTAAAATGGGTCTCCGATTCTCTACACTCACCATACGTAAAACAGCAGCATTAAGCTGCTATTTTAAAATATAGGTGCAGCATGGCTCTACCTAATTAACTATATTGTAGAATTCCATAAGAATTACAGAAACAAACAAAATTAAATTTTATAGTAAAAATAATAAAATTATACAACAAAACTAGGTTATAATTAGGTTCTCACTTTATAATGTTTCTCATTTGCAAATGATATTGCATAAGTATGTGCAATTTCGGAATATAAGATAATATGGACTGTAAATTTAATACAAAGAAAGAATTTTTATTCTACAAGTTCGAAGTAAAATATATAATAATTGTCATATTATTTTTACATTTATTTATGTATACTACAGTTTTATTTGTTAAAAGTACATAGGTAAATACCATTAAACTAAAAATATATCCATAATTAAATTGAATAGACATAGACATGCATTTATTCAGCAACAAACACTCATACAGTTTTGATACAGAAAATAAAATAATACATAAAAACATCAAAGATAAAAGTAAATAACAAAAAACAGTCATAAAATGATCCGATTGCATGAGTGATGTGATGCTATAGGTACAGCTATTTAAATTTCTATTTATATTCAACAATGATATTTTTTGTAGGATAAGGGTGACAAGCGAGCACACAGTCCACCTGATGGTAAGTAGTTGCTGTGGCCTATAAACATCTACATCTATCCCAACTACGAATCAAAATGCAAATGCGTTGTCACCAGTGAGGACTAAGATAGAATGCCACGTTTCCAGTAAAAGGGGTCTCCGGTTCACCGTACGGAACAGGGCAGCGTTAAGCTGCTATCTTACGCTGGTATTGCGAGCCTGGTACTAATACCTATAAAACATATTTTCTCTTTATTACATGTTGTTAGTTGATCGGAAACTAAACAATCTTTCAATCTACGTAAGGGAAGTAGCATAATTATATTTTCTACCGACTTCAAAAAGGAAACGGACCTAAATTCGAGTGTATGTTTTTTTTACTTGTCTTACCTCATAACTTTTTACTGGGTGAACCCATTTCGATGATTCTTTTTTATTTGAAAGCTGGTGCTTCACACGTGGTACCATAAAAATTTGATCAAGGTGTGACCAATGGTTTTTGAGTTATTCTTAATAATTTATATTGAAGTCGGTTGTACAAAATTTTTAATTTTTAATTATAATCACCATAATTAATAACCTTCAGCCGTAATACCCATGTTTTTTATTATTTCTACTATAATTCAATCTTAAAGCATACTCAGATTAATAAGCGTGAACTTAAAATTAATAGATTACGTCACAAGTACTACAAAATAATAACCCTGAATCCTATCGCGTCTACTATCGGAACAGGTTAAATTGCGTTGATAATTACGAATGTTGTGTGATTCTTAACTAAATTCAAAAAATGGAGGAGATTCTCAATTATCACGTGCGTTCAGTGCGTTTTCCCCATCCCAAAAGTGCCCAAGTTTTCACTTTAAAAAAATTACTCCATCCAGACTAATTCTTACGTAGTAGAGCCATGCTGCAGCTATATTACTGGTATAGTTGTAGCACGAATGGGTCAGCTCGACTGGGGTAAGACCACGCTCTCACAATTTTGTGTACTGGTATGGACCACTCTCTCACAGAATACCAGCGTAAAATAGCAGCTTAACGTTGCTGTGTTTCGTATGGTGAGTGTAGAGAACCGGAGAACATTTTACAGGAAACGAAGCATTCCATCTTAGTCCTCGGGGATGACAATTCATCTGCATTTTGATTCGTAATCGAGGATAGATGTAGATGTCTATAGGCACACAGCAACCACTTAACATCACCATCATAAGGTTGACTGTGTGCTCGTTTGTCACCCTTATCTTATAAAGAAAGAAAAAAAGACTAAATGTCAAGCTATAGCCCGAACTATATTATGGATTTGTTTTTAAATAAATTTCCTCCATGTGTTAAAAACGTGTTAGGCTAATTAATATCAATCTACGTTCTATTGTGAGCGCAGGTCTCCTCTCATTTCTCTGAGGATTATTGAGCAGCGATTCCGCCGCGGTGCTCCATTGTGTGTTGGGGGACTTCACATATCTATAAAATAATTTATTTCTCAGACATGAACATTTCCTCACAAAGTGGAGTTAACAATTTCAGTGGTTTAGGCGAGGGTTGAACTCTTTAACGTACCGTTATAAATTTAGCCTTGATAATTTAAAATTTAAAATTTTGTACAACTGTTTTCAATATAAATTAATAAGAATAACTCAAAAACTATTGGTCAGACCTTGTTCAAATTTATATGAGATCACATGAGAAGTACCAGCTTTCAAATAAAAAAATCATCGAAATCGGTTCACCCAGAAAAAATTATGAAGTAACACACTTAAAAAAACATACATTCGAATTGAGTACTTCCTCCTTTATGAAGTCGGTAGAAAAGACAATTTATGTCTTTAGAAGCGATATTTTAATGAAAATAGCATTTGCGTGTCCGTTGCAACATAGATACATATTATATATTTGTTGTAAATATCTCTTATACAATATAGTATCTTCATTTTATTTATTAATCCTACATAAAAACATGACATATTATAGATACCTAATTGGCTATAAATTTGATATCGCAGGACAACACTAGCAAAAACAGTATGTCGATAACGAAAATATCCCTTTATTTAAGATTTTAAAAATTAATTTGCTTATATCCGCGAAATAAAATAAAATCACGTCTCTTACCCAGTTTGAAGAAAGTTTTTTAATACCTTTTTCCCTTTATTTTATTGGTCTTGGGATTGTTTCTTCAAGACGCTGGTCATTGCCGAAAAGCAGGGTTGTGGTTTACCGCAACTCATGCTGAGTGATGAACTTTTTTGGCAGTACTAACGACGTACAAAATCATTTGCAAACAAAAAAAAAGTAGAGTAGAAATATTCGAAGCGTATGTTTTTATGTACATACTCCAATTTCTCGGAAACGGCTAACAAGGGACCGTATAAATTGAATAAAAACTCCATCCCTAAAGGTAGGAAATAGTAGACAAAAAATTTATCGTAACTATTTGAACGTTATTTCAGTTGTTACCTTTTGAAGACGATTAGTGCTTTTTATTAAAAATTAAATTATTTAACGTATAGTAACGGCGTGAAAATATTCACTACCCCATATCATCTCATGGGTGTGGTAAGAGGAGATAGAGTGAAAGAAACCAGGAGATGGGCAGCAGCGTCTTCCAAACAACGACTATAAATAAAAGAGACTACGTTTGACAACCCGCTTGCCAAGTGATGAGAGTTTTAGAAAGTTTATTGCTATTAAAAATTTAAAGCCGCTATCATACTTATATGCCACACAGCCTATATCGATTTTATACTTGTGTAATCAATTTATTTTGGTAAACATTATTATCTTTTTCCTGTAGGTAAACACCACCTGTTAAAATAATAGGGCGCTAAATTTAATACACGTCAATAATTATATTTTAAAAGTCAGGAATACGATTAATTTTTTTTTCATCAAAATTAAATGAAACGCTTATGAGGCATGCGCCTTTGGATTTTCCGAACTATATTTAAAATCTGCCGTATTATAAGAAAATCACATAATTTACACACAATATGTTATCCTGTGTTTGTTTTATAATTACGCATAAACCAACAAATTCATATGTTAAGAACAAACATTACCTGTTACCCATTTGTTTTTATTCCACCTCCGTATTTCAAAATTAGGTAGGATAGAATTTTAACAAACAAACACAACCTTTGTATGTACCTCTACAACTCGAAATTTTTCGCGTCTCCCTTGAGGGTCCACTTACCGAGGTTCTACTGTATCTGTATTATATTATTGTATTCGTAAGTGGTTTATTCCAACATAAATAGCATCTGTGTTTTTCTCTTGATATTTTATCTTGTGTTGTTTTACATACAACCATGTGCTAACAACAATATCCCGATTTTTCACGAATGTTAGCCCGATAACAGTGCATTGTACATTTTATTTACGTGGTAGAGCCATGCAGCAGCTATATTAGTAGTATAGTTGTAGCACGAATGGG